CTTGAATATCCTCCTTGGTGAAGTGTCTATTCATGTCTTCTGCCCATTTTTTAATTGGATTGTTTGTCTTTTTGTTATTGAGGTGTTGGAGTGTTGGCATCTATTTTTTGAAATAATTTCTAAAACCCCATGATCATGTCTTGCTTTTTTCTACATGCCAGCTGAAAGTAGATGTGCAAAAGTAGATGCTACAAGAAAGGACATCATCACTTTCTTATTTATTGTGACTTGAAATGAAGTCATTATGTAATTCTATCTTTATTTAGAAGATTTATTGAGACAGTGTAAAAAATGAAATACAGTAATTTGTATGAAGATTTCAGTTTTTATAAATTTCTTGTTTGCCTTTATTAAGAAAGAAAACTCACAACCACAAAAAAAAATTGGAGCATTTTGGATTAATTTTATAACTTTTTAAGTATAAATTTTCCATATCATGTTTTAGACCTATTTGACCCTATGTTTACATAATAGAAATAAAAAACCATTAATGTAACAGCCCCTGCAGCAAGTTCCAAGTGTTTTCCCAGTAATAAATATTTTCTTGTCTCTTCTAGTGGTGGTATTTGCTGATAGGAAGAGAGGTGGAATGAAAACTGGGTCCATCCATGCTCACTATGACTTAAGTCCTAGGCCTAGAGATTGAAAATTAAGATAGAGAAATGAAGGATCAAGGGGATGCTAGGATAAAACAGATAATCAGGCTGAAGGTGGAATGTATTCATTCTTTCAACACTGTGTGCCTTCTCAGTTACTAAATCCTGAGTGGCAAGTTGGAGACAGAGAAGCAGTAGAACGAAAACTTTAAGATCTGTAATCAGACAGACCTGGATCTAAATCTAGTCTCCTCTGCTTACTAGCTATACACCCTGGACAAGTTATTTAACATCTTTGAGCTTTGGTTTCCTCATTTTTCTACAGACAGTTCTTCCCACCCCCAACAGTTTTTAAATGCTAGGCTCTGCACTAGGCACAAGAGATATATTAGCGAATAAAACAAGAAGATCCCTACACTCAAGGAACTTATTGTTATACTTCATTTCTAAAATTGGTATAATAACCTCCTAAGATTGTCAGGGGATTAAATGAAATACATAGAAAACCCTTGGCACATTCTAAGTACCCAGTAAATGTTAACTCACATTAATATATCAGTGCACAAAGAACATGGCTTCCAGTGTCAAGGAGCTGACTATCTAGTTAGTAAGATAATACTGTTTAAAAAATACGTATTTGTCATAATTGTTGTTGTTATAAGGAGCTCTAGTGGTTTAGTGGCTAAGACATTTGACTCCTAACCAAAAGGTCAGTGGTTTGAACCCACCAGCCACTCCATGGAAGAAAGATGAGGCAGTCTGCTTCCGTAAAAATGTACAGCTTTGGAAACCCAGTGGGGGTCAATATGATTCAGAATCAACTCAATGGCAGTGAGTTTGGGTTTTCAGGTTTTGGATGTTGCTATTTTTAGTTGCCATCAAGTCGATTCCAACCTATGGTGACCCCATGTGTGTGGCATAGAACTGCTCCATAGGGTTTTCAAGGCTGTGACCTTTCAGAAGCAGATCACTGGGCCTGTCTTCCAGGGCACCTCTGGGTGGGTTTCAACACCCAACCATTCAATTACTAGTTGAGCACTTAATTGTTTGTGCCACCCAGGGACTCCTTTGCAGTATGTAAGTCTTGTAAGAAATATGTCAAAGATGCAATGTTAATAGATAAGGGTACAATCTCTCTACGATTTCTTTAGGTGACTCAGAGAGGGATTCCAGGAGAGTATTGAAGATTGAACAGGATGCCACCAGATAGAAAAGTAGGGGAAAGATACTCCATTTAGAAAGAGGCATGTGTAAAGGTACAAAACTGAGAATTGGCAATTCTTACAAATGGCATAAGGCCACAGGTTCCCCCAAAAGTCTGTGGTAGCCTGCTGGGGTATTTACAAAACCACTGACTGCATAAGTATAGTTCATCTTCATAGATCGTTTATTTTATTTAAGGCTATTCGGGGATTAAACTTTTTAAATTAAATGTAGATATGTTACAGAACTGAGTTTAATAATCACATGAATTTTTAGGATGAAATCGGAAACTTCAAAAAAAATTTGTGTTTTCGCTGTGCCTTTCTTGGCTCTATCCTTTAGGAATAAGTC